AGAGAGACAAGAGAGAGATGGGGAGAGAGACACAGAGAGAGAGAGAGAAAGAGAGACAGAAAGAGAGAGAGATGAGAGAGAGAGAGAAACAGAGACAGAGAGAGACGAGAGAGACAAAGGGGGGAGAGAGAGAGAAATGGAAAGAGAGAGAAACAGAGAGAGAGAGAAAGAGAGAGAGAGAGAGAGAGAGAATCTGTTATGCAAGAGATGTAGTCACAAAATATATTTTGACAGGTCATGCTATGGGCACCAGACTGGGTGTTGAGCTTCATAAAGAGGTAATTACAGGAAGACATGGTAGAGTAATGCTCTCCAAACATTTTAAGACTTGTAGAGAGTAGAATCCTAGGGCTGTAAAGGATAGGCCAACCCTCCCCACCGCCCCACATGACAAATGGCTGTTCAATCTTGTCTTGGAAACCACCAGCAATGAAGCACCTACAGGAGGCCAGCTATTCCTCTCCGAAGACTTCTTTACTGGCCAGTCAGAATCCTCAAATTACAGATATAAACGGTCCTTTATTACTCCAGAGAGCAGGAATTGAATGAACCAGTGGGTGGAAATTTCAGAGAGCAAATGTGAAGCTAACCTGGGCAGGAAAACTTATAATACTCAGAGCTGATTGGCCACGTAACAGGACTGCTTTAGGAGGTGGCGATATTTAAGCAAAGGCTCACGAGATAATCTGTCAGGATGCTGTAGATTCCTGAACTGAGCTTAGTGGTTGCATTTTTTTAAAAAAATTGATTTATATGCCGCCCTTCTCCGGAGACTCAGGGTGGCTTACAGTGCGTTAAGCAATAGCCTTCATACTTTTGTATATTTATACAAAGTCAGCTTATTGCCCCCACAACTGGGTCCTCAATTTACCTACCTTAGAAAGGATGGAAGGCTGAGTCAACCTTGAGCCTGGCGAGATTCGAACCTGCAGTAATTGCAGGCAGCTGGTGTTAATAACAGGGTGCTTTAGACCACTGTACTACCAAGGCTCTTTAAACAATCCCTTCCATTTTTAACGTTGTGTTCTATCTTGGCCACAAAACTGAAGCACAATAAGTGAATGAATAAATTCATGGCCGATAACTAAAGGGAAGCAGCTACGTGTGTAAACAGAAGGACTGGAAACACGTAACAGTGTTGGAAGGGACTTTGGAAGTCATCTAGTCCAACCCCCTTCTCAGGCCGGAGACCTGTACTAGGGATTTGAACCGCCGAACTGCCGACTTTTCTGATCGACAAGCTCAGTGTCTTAGCCACTGAGCCACCCATGAAAGCAGGGAGGGAGAAACTCTTCAAAAGCGTGGCAAGTTCTATGCCCAGTTAGCTCCTATTTTTAACATCCAGATTATGAAACGTATAGGATTCTGATTTCCTCGTTTCTCACTTTCCTCTCCAACCAATCAAACTACTTCTCCCATCGAGAAACATTAAGACTTCTAATCACAGCTTCGGGACATGGTTTGACTTTCCATTAGATTATTATTATTATTATTATTATTATTATTATTATTATTATTATTATTATTATTATTATTATTATTATTATTAAATGTCAGGTGATCCAGGAGAAGAAGGTCTGAAGGCAACTTCAATTTTCCTATCCATTGGGAAGGGATGCTAATATATCCAAATGAATGCTTTCTCCATTTCTGTGCCTTGCTTCAGCATCTTTTCTGTAGAATGAGCTGGTATTTTCCCCTCTGTCTGGACCACATCACAACTCGCCATTCAGCCTTGTCTACACAAGCACAGTTGTTAGTACAGGAGAGCTGCCCATACCACTGGAGTAGGTATGTCCACACGACTCTTTTCTAGCTAAAGCAGATTGGGAAAAAAAAAATCAAAAGTCAACAATATGTGAGATTCATCTTAAGAGGCATTTCATGCTGCAAAATCATGACATTTGGGATCTGTTTTATGCTCAAAAGAGAACTTCTGAATATTCTCTTCAGCATATGCCTTTAATTCCAACATGTTTGGCTATCATGTTTTTTTAATATATCTTCACAATTTTTAATAAATTGTGAAGATTTGGCCAATAATATTAATAATTTCATTTGAGGGGATGGCTGTGAAGTCAAGAGTAGCATTAAGATCATAGGTGTTTTAGGCAGGGAATTTTTGCTGCTCAGAGTTGGCCTCCATTGGAACAATTCATAAGCATTATAAAATATATAAATAAAGTTACAGTGCTTGGTTTCTCCCTGACCAATACTGGAGTGAAAGTCTCACAAGTAGAGTAATTCAAGGACACAACAGAATAAAATATTCTTCATCGGCCTGGTGTGATTGGACACACAAGAAATTTGTATCTGGTGCATCAGCCCTCAGTGTACATACAAGGAACAAAATGATAAATCATAAGTCATCAGATGCAATCATAAATCATAAGATATAACCAACAGACAGGTGATAGTCATAAGATCATAGGAGCAGGTAATAGGAAAGGAGAGAAGGATAATAATAATAATAATAATACAGTCCAACTACATATCCTTCGGCATATGACAGTGCTCTGGGAATTAAATGTTTAAACCTGTCTTTGTGCCCAACTCCCCCTTGAGTAGTTTTTAAAGATTAACAGAGTTGGAAGGGACCTTGTAGGTCATCTAGTCCAACCCCCCACCCAAGCAGGAGACCCTACACCATTTCCGACAAATGGCAGTCCAGTCTCTTCTTGAAGGCTTCCAGTGATGAAGCTCCCACAACTTCCAAAGGCAACTTCTGTTCCATGGGTTGATTGTTCTCACCGTCAGAAAATTTCTCCTTATTTCTAGGTTGAATCAGTCCTTGTTCAGTTTCCTTCCATTATTCCTTGTCTGGCCTTCAGGTGCTTTGGAAAATAGTTTGACCCTCACATCTCTGAGGCAGCCCCTCAAATATTGGAAGACTGCTATCATGTCTCCCTTGGTCCTTCTCTTCACTAGACTAGCCATGCCCAGTTCCTGCAACCGTTCTTCATATGTTTTAGTCTCCAGTCCCTTAATCATCCTGGTTGCTCTTTTCTGTACTTTTTCTAGAATCTCAACATCTTTTTATAGTGTGGTGACCAAAACTGGATGCAATACTCTAGGTGTGGTCTTACTAAGGCTTTATAGAGTGGTATTAGTACCTCCCTTGATCTTGACTTAAATTAAGCACAAAGTATATTATGTGAACCCAAAGGTGCTTTTTTCAAGAGGCAACTGGACTTTCTTAGTTTTTCTTTGATGAAGTTTCACTTCTTATCCAAGAAGCTTCTGGAGAAGCTTCTTGGATGAGAAGCGAAACGTTTTCAAAGAAAAACCAAGGAAGTCCAGTTGCCTCTTGAGAAAGCACCTTTGGGACAACCTTGACCTGGATGACTGAGACTCTCCATAGACATTTATATTATGTGAATATAATCTTCTTCTTCTGCTTCCCTCCAGTGAAGAGAAGAATGAGATCCATATTGCAGGAATGCTGAAAATAGGCGAGAAGAAAGAAATGAACTAAATGCATATCCCTCAGATTTCCCAAACACTTTTAACTTTTGGTCCATTGGTCCCTCTCTGTGTCTTCGGGTCTCCAGCCATACTGGGCGGTAACAGCTTCAGCAGCTTGGACAGGAATCGATAGGTGTTATAATTCCAATATGGTAGCACAGCATTTCTTAAATTTATTTTCCCCTCAGGAAGCCCTCTCACTTTTAAAAATGATGGAGGACCCCAAAAGGGCCCTGTTCTATGGGTGTAGCTCCCGTTACTTGTCCCAGCTTCTGCCAACCTAGCAGTTCGAAAGCACGTAAAAAATGCAAGTAGAAAAATAGGGACCACTTTTGGTGGGAAGGGAACAGCGTTCCGTGCGCCTTTGGCGTTGAGTTATGCCGGCCACATGACCTCGGAGACGTCTTCGGACAGCGCTGGCTCTTCGGCTTTGAAATGGAGATGAGCACCGCCCCCTAGAGTGGGGAACGACTAGACATATGTGTGAGGGGGATCTTTACCTTTACAGATGATATTAATCAACATTTATCCTATTTAAAAATTAAAATGGCCACCATCGCTTCTCACGATTCTTCGATGGGATGTTAACATTGTACTATTTTTTTTCAACATAGGCTGGCAAACAGTTTTGATTTCATGGACCCCAAAAAGATCTTGGAGGACACCCTCCCTCAGGAATCTTTAGACCACACTTTGAGGGGAAAAAAAACTGATTTCAATAAAGGAGGGTGTTTGTAGCTCAAGGTTGAAATGAAGGGTTCTTGGTGCTCTCAATGCTTGAGGATATTAACATAGAGGAGGGGGGTCCAGCTATTTTCCAAAGCACCCGAAGGCCAGACAAGGAATAATGGATGGAAACTGACCAAGGAGAGATTCAACCTGGAAATAAGGAGGAATTTTCTGACAGTGAGAACAATCAACCCATGGAACAAAAGTTGCCTTTGGAAGTTGTGGGAGCTTCATCCCTGGAAGCCTTCAAGAAGAGACTGGACTGCCATCTGTCAGAAATGGTGTAGGGTCTCCTGCTTGGGTGGGGAAGGGGGTTGGACTAGATGACCTACGAGGTCCCTTCCAACTCTGTTAAACCTAGTTGGGGTAATGAAACGTCTACAAGAAAATAACCAAGCTCAGAGAGCACCAAGGACCCCATCAAACACCGATTTAGCAGGATTCCAGTTTTAAAAAAGGACTGAGTTACGCCTTCTGCTGCAGAGAAAACTGCAAATATTGTCCATCCGACTGTTAAAAAAAAAATTAAAAAAGGGAAGATTTTCTGTTTATAATCCAAGTTCCATGGAAGGCTGTTTGCGACCCCCTCACCCCCCCCTCCTTGGCTGCCTGCCTCTTCTCCATGCTTCCGAAGCAGGAAAGACTCTGGGTATCCACACACAAAAAAAATAGTATCAGATTACAAAATGCCAAAATTGTGATATCGCCCCATTTCAGCCTCAGTGGAAGGGGTGGGCCCTGGGAGGGGTTTGGGAAGAGAAGTCCTGTGAAATATGCTAAACCAGACTCTCTTCCCAGACTCGGTCCAGGAGAAGCGCTCTCGGCCAACGAATTGCCTCCGAAGCCCTGAACCACGATAGGTAAGGCAGCAAATGATTATTGCACTAAAAGAGACAGAATGATTCGGGCAACAAAAATAAACCAGGAGTGTGTGCATGTGTGTGTGTGAAGAACTGGGTTGATGTTTACAATTGATGCCTGTTCTTTTCGTTTCTTCCTTCTCCTGATTTCCCACCCCCCCTCTCCCCTCCCCTCCTCTCCAGGGATTTTGCTCCCAAACTGAGTTGCCCCCATCCTAAACTGATATAGAGATGGGACAAGCATACAGAACTCATAGCTCAGCAGAGGGTTTGCCCAGTCTCTGGAGAGCTCAAGTCCTGGGTTGAACTCATGTAGGGCTGGGAAGAAAAAAAGAAGTTTTGCTTGAAAGTTTGGAAAGGAATCGGGGGACGGACGATAGGACTGGAAGGATGATGAGAAGTAGACCCTCCCCGACAGACCAAGAAGTTCCCCTTGTTGGGAAAAGGTGGGATGGGTGATACTGAAAGAGAAGATCCTTGGGTGGTTTAATTTAACCGATGAAGAGTTGGAAGAGACTTTATTTACAGATGAACAGAGTTGGAAGGGACCTTGTAGGTCATCTAGTCCAGCCCCCTCCCCATCCAAGCAGGAGACCCCGACACCACTTCTGACAAATGGCAGTCCAGTCTTTTCTTGAAACTCTCAATTCCTGCAACCATTCCATGGATAGAGTAGGGTCGAGTTGAGTCGAGTCGGAATAGGAATAATAGGAATAAGAATAAGAATAGAACCCCCCACCCCCGCTCAAGCAGGAGAGACCCTACATAATTTCTGACAAATGGCAGTCCAATCTTTTCTTGAAAGTCTCGAGTGACTTCAAATAGTCTGTGGGGTCCTCGTTCACTTGGAAGATTGTCAGGATTTAGAGCAGAGGTCTTCAAACTTGGCAGCTTTAAGACTTGTGGACTTCAACTTCCAGAATTCATAGCTGGCTGGAGAATTCTGGAAGTTGGAAGTCCACAAGTCTTAAAGCTGCCAAGTTTGAAGACCTCTGATTTAGAGGAACGAGGTTAGAAAGGATTGTCTTTGATCTTTACTTCTCCTCCTCACTCCCATCCTTAATCCACATCCACATGAATCATCAGCCCTTCTGAATTCTCTTTAGCTGCTTTCAAACTTCCTGGAGTCATCCCGTATTGTTCCATGTGCATAAGATATATTTCTGAGGTTTGGGAAGCGGTGGAGAAAGTTATCCTTCCTTAAAGTCCATTAAAACAATCTGTCCAATTTAATAGTCCGCCTCCAGGAATAGGTAACTCTGGGATTTAAAGAAAGATAATACTACAATTTCATATATGCTTATGGTGGACCGTTCTTATGGTAGAGTATTCCTAATTCTACGACAAGGTTAAATAAAATTATATATATATGATATACTAAAAATATATGTATAAAACATCTATTAAGATAAGAAAGAGAAAATGTATAAATATGGATTACTGATGCGAAGATGTTGAAAAGAAGAAGATGTAAATATCTGTTTTTGTTTGTTTTTTTAAAAAAACTGTTTAATAAAAATATAAAATTAAAATAAATTAAAATAAAATAGAATTAGATGGTAGGCTAGATGAAATACTACTTTTGGGCACATGAGATTTGCTTTCAATTCCCAATCTACCATAACATTCTTTCATTTTCACCTTAACATCCCTTTCCAAGGTAGTTGTGATGCTACAGGAGGGGAAAAAATTACCTATTAGCAAAGTTCCCTTGGATTTTTTTGAGGGCAAATGAAATATTAATGAGAAAAGCAAATGGCATATAAGAAAAATGAAGAAACAGGCACTATATTAACTTATCAAAGGACCTGGGACTAAAAGGTTAGAGGGGGTAGGATGAAATAATAATAATAATAATAATAATAATAATAATAATAATAATACTATAATACCTGAATACTTAATAATACCTTAACAGTTCCTAGGTCCTTGGTTAGGACTCGAGCTGCTGAGCTATTAACCAGCCTCAAAGGCTATGAATCTCACTAAAGATTAAATAACAACAACAACAACAACAACAACAACAACAACAACAACAACAATAATAATAATAATAATAATAATAATAATAATAATAATAATAATAATAATTTTATTTCTATACTGCCCTTCTCCCGAAGGACTCAGGGTGGTGTACAGCCTGATTAAAAGCACAAAGACAGACAAAATTTAAAAATAATTAAAATTATTAAATAATTGGCTCAATTATAAAACCCCCAAATTTAAAATCCCATATTTAAAACCAATTAAAATCTTTACATTGATAGCCCGGCCTGGCGGAACAACAAGGTTTTGAGGGCACAGCGAAATACACGGAGGTCGGAGATCTTACGCATTTCTGGGGGCAGTTCATTCCAAAGGGCAGGGGCACCAACAGAGAAGGCCCTCCCCCTGGGTGTTGCCAGCTGACATAATTTGGCCGATGGCACCCTGAGGAGACCCTCTCTGTGGGAGCGGACTGGCCGGTGGGAGGCTACTGGTGGCAGAAGACGGTCTCGAAGGTACCCAGGTCCAATGCCATGGAGCGCTTTGATGAAGAGCAATGGAACAGCTTGCCTCCTGGTTGTTGTGAATGCTCCATTATTGGAGGTTTTGAAGAAAAGATTGGACAACCATTTGTCCTGGATAGTATAAAGTTCCTGATTTGGGCAGGGGGTTGGACTAGAAGACCTCCAAGGTCCCTTCTACCCCTACGATTCTATGAGTCCAATCTGTGTCTGTGACCAAAAAAGGGTCAGTATATTGTGTGCATCGAGAGGGACGGAAACAGTAGCTCTTGCAGACAACTTGAGGCAGGATCCAGTTGGCATCTTCCTTACCATCAGCTTCAATTCTGAAAGCCAAACTGTCTGGCCCACTGGAGCCCAGATGTTCCAATACACATTGCAGTAATTCTGGATATTAGATGCCACGTAACCGTTGCTTTGATCCTTGACATCAGACAACTTAGCGGTAGAGCACTGGTCCATCTTGCAAGGTTCTTAGATCTGAAGGAGAAAAATGGCATTTTGCAGCTTAGAAAGGGATGGCAGGTTCATGTTTGTTTTGTTTATGTTTTATTAAATTTGTATACCCCCCTACTCCCGAAGGACTCAGGGCGGTGAACAGGCACAGAATAAAATACAGAAATACAAAAGTTAGAAACAATTTAAAACCAAATTAAATAATTTAGCCCAAGACAATTAAAAATCCCAATAATTTAAAACAAATTAAAATTACAGTTTAAAAATTTAAAAGGGGAGAGAATTAGGCCAGGCCGGCTTGCTGGAATAGGAAGGTCTTAAGAGCACGGCGGAAAGTGCGCAGATCCGGGATCCTCTGTATCTCTGGGGGGAGCTCATTCCAGATAGTGGGTGCCCCCACAGAGAAGGCCCTCCCCCTGGGGGCTGCCAGTCGACACTGCTTGGCTGGCGGCACCCAGAGGAGCCCCTCTCTATGAGAGTGTACCGGCCGGTGGGAGGCTGTTTGTGGTAGTAGGAGGTCCCGTAAATAATGATAGAAATGCTAACTGTTGTAGCTGAAATCCTATCTACATTTATCTGGGATTTAGTAACCCTTGATGAACTAGACAAGAGTTACTTGTAAATAGACATGCATAAAAATTGTTTGGAATGGAGGAAACTCAAATCTGTGAATGTGTACAATGATTAGCCTAAAACAGGGTTAGGTAGTTTGTGGTTTAGTGTATTGTGAGAGTCCAAGATATCCAATGAAATATATATGATTAATATATATATGATCAAAGATATATCAAATATATATATATGATTTATAGTATGTTGCGTGAATACTGCAGTGCTGCTTATTAAACAGGAGTTACGCTTAGTTTAGTTGCAAGAAGCTAGCCACTGTTTAAGGAGGGTTAAGGTTATTATTCGGTCTGAAATTTTGCTATCCACTTTCCCAGATGGTGAACTGCAGTTTTTTGGTGAACTGCAACTTAGAAATAAATATATGGAATGGAAATGAAAGGTTTATTTAAAATGAAAAGGATCCGCTGAGTTTCTTCTTTTAATAATTTTATTTGGAGAATGGAACTCTGGGGGAGAATATGTGGGGTCTTGGTGATCTCGGAGCTTTGCTATTCTATTTGCAGGCAGTTCGTTGCCAGGTTAGGTAACTTTATCGCTTCAGTTCCCCACACAGTTGCCAGAGCAATAATATCTGGAAAACCACTAACTTAACGATGAGAAAAACGCAGCCACTGTGCAACCTCTCACTGTAATTATAAGTAATCCTCAATTCAGGGGTGAAATGCTACCGGTTCGATTCCGAAATCCTGCTTTCTAGTGCAGTGGTCACCAATTGGTGTTTTGTGGACCACTGGTGGTCCACGAGAAAATTTTGGTGGTCCGCAGAAAAATTATTTGCCTTTTTTATATTGCACTAAATCAGGAGTCCTCAAACTACGGCCCCTGGGACCAGTACGTGCAATGAACGTTTGTGTTGCTGCAGAGAGTCTCCCCCTTCGGGGTCTTTTTGTGGGGGTCGGAGGGGGGCAGAAATTCCGACTTGGTGTCTGCTTCAGCCTCCTGGTGTGGGGCTTTGGGGAAGGCTGGAGGGAAGTGCTACTGGTGGCAAAGAGCCGGAGGGCCTTGTTCCAGTGGGACGGCATCATGGCCTGGAACTGGCTGACCATCTCAGCCTGCTGAGCCTCCAAGCGCCGATACCTGGCCTTGCACTCCCGCAGGTGTTCCCTCTGCTTGGAAAGGCTATGCTCGTAGTCCTCAGTGAGGTGCTTCTACTGAGCCTCCTTCTCAGTCAGATCCAATTTGAACTGAGCTGTTTTGCCAACTCTTTCTCATGGTGGCAGCTTAGCTTCAACAACTTCTTCTTGTTGGGGCCCTAAGGAGCCCGGGCGGGGAGGCGAGGAGTGGCTGGGAAGGGAGGGGCGAGTAGAGGCTGGCGAGGTGCCTCTCAACGAGACATTGAGGTGGCCACACCCACCCAGTCACATGACCACCTTGCCACACCCACCCAGCCGGTCATTAGGCAGATCA